TGTGCTAGCCAGCGTAGCACTGCCAAGCCTATAAAGATGCTGCAGGTTTTTCCTCCCAAGGTGGAGAACCTTGCATTTTTTAGTGTTAACACCACTGTTAAACAAAAGATTCTTGTCCACCCATTTGCTGAGCTTGTCCAGGTCAGCGTGGATTGCCCTCCTGTCTTCAGGTGTGGATGCTTTGCCCCAAAGTTTGGTGTCATTGGCGAACTTGGCCAGTCCACTTCTGACTCCAATGTCCACATCATTAATGAAAATGTTGAACAATATGGGCCAAGGACAGAGCCTTGGGGGACCCCACTGGTCACAGGGGACCACAGCTATTAACTTCCATACATGTAGCTCTGCATTAAAGTGATGGAATTGATTATATTCTTTTAAGTGCTTATTCCAGGGCAAGGTACGTGTCAGGGAAATTTCAGAAGTTCCAGCTGAAGAGGAATAACATAGTTAAGCTCCAAACACCCAAGGTTAGGAGAGTTTTACTGGAGATGCTGACCACAATTCTTTGAGCTGTTTCTGCTCAAAGCAAGGTGACAAGGATTTTCGCTTTTTCAGCGTCCCAGTTCTGTGCCAGGTCAGGGGCTGATTTAGTCTCTAGAGGCAAAAGAGGATCCCCAGGACTGTTCCAAATTATACCCAGCCATGTGTTATTGCGGTACTTAAATGAGATGTGACTGAGGTGCTTTGTACATAGGATGGCACACCCAATACACTAGTGTGGGCAACAAAGGATAAACTATTGGGCTAGGTCTATACCCACCCTGAATTCCACCTAGGTCAGAGGAATTTTATAGTAATCATTTAAGGTGGCATTACAGCCCTTTTATAGAGACAAAGCAGCACAAAAGGGGATGAACAAGACCTAGAATCAGGCTCATTAATGGGCCAGCATTTTCTAATACTCATAGATACCAAAACTGTGGTCAGATTTGCATAAGAACTCAGCTCCCATTTAGGCAACAAAACATGCAGGAAGATTTTCCAGAGAGTTTGAAAATGTTGGATGCTGAGCTCTCTGACCTCACACAGTGATAGCGGTATCATGAAGAGTCATTAAAGTAAGCTGCATCCATGAAGAGCATCCACCCACATTCACCCACCTTTCCAATACCGTGCAGCATTTATTTTGAACCCAGATATTAACAAGGAGGTTTGATTCAAGGTTACAAGAGTTTGCAAACAACAATTTGACACCAGCTATGATCATCTCAGATCTGCTTCTTTTTACTTCGCATTCCACTCCAGATCTCTTTTCAGTACGAGGGAGAGAAAACAGAGCTAAACTACCACTATCACTTGATGTACATGAAGCTATTTTAGGAACAGCTGCATGAGGCTGCCTGGAGTTTAGAAAATGGGACAATTCTTATCACATCCTCCACATTCAGTTTGGGTACAAAGTCTGAAGGAAATCAATAATGAACACATAAAAGGGATTCTCCCTCCAAATACTTTCATCTTACAAGCTGGGGAATAGCTACACATCTTCTTTGGCAAGCCCTTGCAGTTGAGGATGTATGTCTTCCATGATTGTCTTATCTGTGCATCCAAAGATGGCTGATGCGACCTATCTAGGATCAACAGACTCTACTGAAGCTTGGTTTCCATGTGGGGTGGGTGGTGCTGGATTCTTGATTTGGTCTGTGGCACACTGTTTCTGCCGGTCTCATTTTTCCATCTCTTGTTGTTGGCATGAGGTTTCAAAGTACTGAAATCCCTGCAGCAGACTCTTCTTCCATTTGGGGCGGTCCCAGGTGATGGTCTCCCATGAGTTAACGTCTGTGTTGCATTTTTTGTTAAGTTGGCCTTGATACTTATCTACAGATGCTTATCTACATATAAGTATCTGGAGACTCCAAAGGATTTTATTTCTGCCCAGCACTGCTTTGAGTGGCCAAGCAATGATCAGCACTGAGAAGATTGCTTACCATGGATAGAAATCCATTGTGTTTAGTATGTAGTGGCTAGGTCACCCAAAAGAGTGTAAATGTTGCACACCGAAGTGAAATAATTCTTTAACCCCTACGTTAAAGAAATCCCCTACTATGTTGCCAGGTTAGTCAACACCATCCAAGGTATCTTAATTAAACAGCCTGAATTATTTGCTAGTAGTCACTGCCTAGTTATACACACACTAACAGGGTTTGAGGTGACATTGTGGTCATAGATTTATTCTCCCATCACAAGCAAAATTTGGTTTTACATGTTACTTCACAGGCAGATCAAGGGAAAATTGCTGTTGGAACCATGGTGAAGTCATACATGCCCGGTTTTCCAAAAAACCGTCTTTAGACAAGAAAACTCCCAGCCTGTCCTTTTAATTTGAGTTAATGACTACTGTTTGATTTTTCCCGCCCACAGGTATACAGTTTTACACAATGGACATCATCAGGAACATGAGAAGCTTCCCATCCACAATGACCCAGAATCCCAGGAGTCCTGTTTCTAACCAAGAACCTGGAAGAGAACAATCCACCTTCAGGACTGGAAAGTTCTTGGGCTGTAGTACTTTAATACAAACTCATTCATCTTCATTTTCATGGTGCCTCTTGTATGGATCTGAGATGAATGCCCAGCCTCATGAATATGGAGACTCATGAGGCACAGGAGGGGATGTAATGAACAGGATGATTGAGGAGACCTCTCTGCTGCTGCAGAAGAATGTCTGGACCATGTTATCAGAGCAGGACCATATTTGCAGTGCTTTACAGGGGAATGCAGACGTACTTCACTGTATACAAATAACACCCACACAAACCACGCCCAAAAACAGAGTGCTATTTTTTGCTCCGCTGCCATCTTTGCACAGGCCACCTCTTGTTTTTTTGACAATGATATTATGATCTTATAATTTCAAAATTTGACTTGAAAACCTAACATGAAACCATGGTAAATTCTTCCTTTATCTTTTTAAGATCACACCCACATATTATGGTGCTATCAGGAGAGGTAGCACTTCCATATTCTTTATTAAAATGTGAGGTTTTTTTATACGCTTTATTTGTGTGATGTCAGCATGAACTGCTGATTTCCTCCCATCCCATGAAGTCTGGTTCTGTAGATGGTTTTTAAGAAGTCTCTTCAACCAAGATCTCTGTTGGAAGATTCATGGAGCAAAAGCAGCCCATGAAGATCTGAAACAAGCCCCACAGAGATGTACTATATTTGGTAAGGATATATGGCCCACAGGGACTGTGCAAGTCCCTGCAAATGCTATATCATCTTGAGCTAAGTGGCCGGAAGACAGCAGTCATGTTCTGTTCCATTTCCTGCAATTAGATGTGTCCCAATCTCCTGGCAAGTCATCAGTGCAGTCCTTATTTGGGCAACCTTTGGGCACTCCTACTGTAAAAGAAGGTTGGTGAAGAGATTGGAGAATATCAATCTGTAATTGATCACTAAGTGCCATCTTGATAAATATGTGTCATCTAAAGAGCTTTCCTAGCTAAAGCTGTAAGAATAAATCCCACTTGCATGATTTTTTTTGGATTCCTTCCAGCTCTGAGACTTATTTAAAAAGTTTTAGAGCTTTCAACTGTTGCTGTACACACTTGTCCCCTTACAAAAATCTCAGTTCCTAGGTACTTCCTGCATGCATGTGTTACTATTTTTCCTGTAAGAAGATTCCTCCTTTGCATGTGAATGACACGCATGGCTGTAGAGCTAGGGACCTTGGGAGTCTGATTTTAATTGAGGGGGGAAATGTGCAGGTTCAAGACTGTGAACCTGTAACCTCTTGGATGAAGATATACCCCAAAGATGACAGCCACAACGTGCAAAACAGAACTGTATTTTGTTACATTGTGTTATCATGTACAGATTTTTTAATGTAAAGAAAAAAAGTTGACATTATTTATTATTATTTTTTAAAAGAATTAAGTGTTTCTCCATTAAAAGCTTCTAAATGTGGGAGCTTAACACACACACATATATATATTATTTTATTAATGTTCTGTTGCTATGTGACAGGTACTTACTGTAAAAGAACTACTCTGAACAAAGACAAAATATTGCTTAGTAAGAAGTTTTTGTACCTAAGGGCAAGTGGGATTCCTATTACCATGTCTAACTATCCTTGACTTCCTTGATATGTTCTTCTCACCCAGGACAGAGTTGTTGCTAAAGGTTCTGGTTCTCTCCTTTAATAGTCCTAAAATGATGAAAGGGTAGAACTAAACAGTTTTTTTCATCTAGAAAATGAGGTGATTATAAATGGGTGAAGAACCAATGCTTGTGACTCTAAGCACTGGCAGTAAATGTAACAAGTTTTCTAAAAGAGTGGGCAGGTTACATAATATGAGACACTTATAGGTTTATCATCATTAGACCTAAGTTCTGCAACCACATTATCACAGAGTTGATTTGCACATGGTTCAGGCCTCAGTGAAACTGTTTGTATAAGGAATACTGCTCACAAGATTATTTGCAGAGTGAACAGCTAAGGCTGTAGAACAGAAAGTGATGGATCATCGCATTCATCCAAAGTGTCAAACTTCTTCAAATAATATCTAGCAAAGCTTTTTCTCTGTCCCCACAAGAAGGCGCTGGAAAAGACTAGCTGAAGGTCTCTGTAAATGGTATGGGACCAGTTGCATGGTGATGCAATGGTAGTGGTGCAATGGTGTTTCATCTTTCCTCTCATGTTCTTGGCCTGTTGTTTACTCTCTATGTATTTTAACGTGCTTTGACAATATATCTGGTCTTAATTTAAGAAAAAACATCCTCAGTACTGTATCTTTCTCATGGAAAACATTCAACTGAGATATTCAACTCACAAGGCAAAATGGTCAGTGGCTTTGAAACAGAGACCCCCTATTCCAAACCACTTAGCGTATTAAAGAAATACAAATGTCTGTGTTCTGTGTCACTTCTGGCTAATGGCTCGTTGATACCAAGTCCAGGAGGTTTCTGTAAGTTAGCCTGTAACTAGCTACCTGGCAGCTATCATCAAGACAACAATTACAGCAATGTTTCTGTGCACCCAGTGAATTACACTGTCAGACACCAAAATGACCCAGTACTTCTCTGGGGATTTGGGGTGTCTCATGATTGGGACCAGCACCTGGTTCCTTTTCTAAAGCTTCATTTACCTGCTCGTTGAGTGACTGCAGCAGATTGGGAGTCTGCCATTTCATTGCCCATTCTGGCTAGTGAGTTTGGAGCCCATGCCAGGTGCTCAGGTTATCCAGTTTCAATCCGATTCAGCACAGCAGAAGTACAGTGCTGAGTAGTGTGTAATGCATCTGCCATTTTTATAAATAAAATTCCTCTGTGTACATTGCATGAGAGTTAATTCCATTTTTTCAGTATTATTTACAGTATTTTTAAGTGGTAATATGTAATCAGCTGAGCCCTTCTGCATGGGTAAAGTGTTTCTGGGAAGCAGGGGGCAGTGTTTCTTTTATTAGCTCTCTGACACTGAGGAAGCTATATGATCTAGAACAATTATATCATAGCCTGGTGGAGGAGGAGACTGCAAGATATGAGTCCTAGTGACTGCTTAATAGCTGTTTCAAGGGGATTGTTATATCAGGGCTACGATTTGTAACCACTGTTATGAAAAGAATGCTAGGGAAACAGTCAGCCGTAAGACACAGCATGAATAATATCAACATTGGTGGGAAACCAGTTAAACCAGCTTTTTATGGAGGGTCAGATCCTTTGCTTGTATAAATCAACAGAGTCCCAGTGACCACCATTGAGTTACATACATGGGTCTGACTGCTGAAGGCAAGAATTGTTTCTGAATTTGCTGAATAGTGAATCCTGATTCTCCCCTGCCAACATCTGTTGGGTCCAGGGGATCGTTGAAACTCATGGGGCTTCCTGCAAAGTACCATGAGTTACAACGGGGAGCTGCTCTTTTGTCTGCTCAGACAAAGATCTGCTTGGACCTAATAACCCCTGGCCTGGTTAAGTCAAGCCAGTTCCTCTATTCAACAGCACGCAGAAGAAAGATGGGTTTAGTATCATATCCAGCCACCTTTAACTCCTCAGCCTTAATAACGAGGTGTACAGCTGGATGAGCTTTTTGGAACAAGTCCTGAGGGAGGCAGCTGCACAGCTGGAGCCATAGCATGGTAGCTTGTTGCCATACCTCATGCTACAAATGATCACTATTCCAAAATTCAAAGCCACCATTCTCTTGTGTTGTTTTTTCCTAAGATAGAAAAATAATCATACATAATAAACACGTTGCAAATAAATAGTGCCTGCAGAATAGAAGGAAGCTCTGAAGAAGAGTGCAAAGAAGAAACTGTACATTTCAGTTAACTGATGAGCAAGACTGTCTGGAGAAACACAAGGCAATAAATGGATGGTTCATGTTCTGTAAATTCCAGTGCTTCAGGCAGTCAGAGGCTGTATTGCTTATTGAGCTGCTGCCAAGGAGGTCACTCTAACAAACACCATGAAATGAATGCTTATGGGTTTTTTTTTGTCCCTCATACTTGTCTCCCTCGCTTCTATTTTAGCATTTAGTTTACATTGCCAGCTTTTACTCCTGGAGGGGAGCAATGTATGAAAATAAAGGAGGAGGATATCTTAGATGGGATATATGCTTTACAATGTACAATTAGCAATTCCTTCTCAAGCAATTTAAAGGCCAAGCTACCCTCAAATTGTAGACATGAAAACAACAGTTGCCTTCTCATATAGGACCTACATTAAAACAGCATTTGTGCATTTGTGTGTCATCTGGGCAGAAGTATCTGTAGAGCCATGAAGGGTTTCAGGACTGGAATAATACATAGCAGAAAAGACTGAAATGGAAGTGTATTTGAAGAGATGTGTAGGAGATACACACAGTTCCTATCCGTAAGATGCCCAACTCCCAACACATGGGTTCCATGTCTACCTTGTGAAGCACTAAAATTCACCAGAATCTCAAATTAATTGAAATTGTGTATGTGTGTGAGCATGCCACCGACCCCTTTCTCTCTGCCTCTTTCTTTTTAGCACATTACCTTTAACTGCAGGTACTAATTCTTACCTGGCTGTCTTCCCCTTTGCCAGTCACAAGAAAATGGAAGGGAGCATGTAACATCTCTTGGCTACCAACAGCTTGGTATACCTGGTAAGATTGTCTCATTATGATGATCCTTATATTTGTATTGATAGGAGCCTAAGCCATGTAACCAGACCATTGAGTAGTCACTGGATATTGATGCATTTCAATGGGTCATAATCTGAGATTCATTGTGACACCTGATGTACTTTGACTACTACATGCAACACAGTCCCAACAAAAGACCTGATGGATGTGCTATTAATGGCTAAGAAGCTCTCCCCACCCAAAACCCACCAAAAGCCATGAAGAGAGTCCAGTGAAGCACATCTGGATATTGGTTTGTTTTAGAACTGCAGGTGATAGTTTTCAACCTCCTTTAAGTGATGGTCATCTGAATCTCATTTTTTAATCGATCAAGTTTCACAACACCCATATGATGTCAGAAAATACTATTTTGTTTT